GGGGGGGGGGCGGGGCTGGGATGACCGTTTATATATGGGTGCGATTGTGTCCATGGGTGTGGGGGGGAAGCCTTGTCTCTGGGTGCGGGGTTGGGGAAAACCTGGGGTGCCAGCAGTACACAAAGCTTGCCAGGTGGGTGTGTGGGGTGGGGGGCCGTGGGGTGATTTTCGGGGTGACGTGGATGGGGTGGGCGAGGGGGCGTTTTGTGGGGTGAGAGGTGCAGTTTCACCCCAGCTGCCAGCCGTGCATGGAGCGCGTCAAGTGAGCAGGGCCTGGGTCTCGTTGCGCGAGGCCGGGCCCGGGCTGTGGACGCGTGTAGGGGGCCGTTCCCGCTCCTCTCCTCCGCCGCAACCACTGACTCTCCCCCCCTGCAAAACACGACACACCCTCGACGGCGCCCGCAACCACCCCGCCGCCCAGGCAGCGCCGCGTGGACGAGGCGGTGCAGTTTGCGCAGGCGGTGCTGGCCGCGCTGCTGCACGGCGCGCCGCAGTGGGAGGGCACGCTGCGGGTGAGCGGGGGCCCCTCCCGCACACGCACGCGCGCGCCTTGCGCGCGCAGCCACTGGAAGCGCGGCCGGGTGGGGGCGTCGCCGTGTGGGGCTCTTCGGGCTCCTGCCCTCCCCGCTCTCCGGCTGCCGCGGTCACGCTCCCCCTCGTGTGCACCCGCCTTGCGCCCATGCGTCGGCACTCATGCACCCTTCTGTACGCACCCGCCCCGCTGGCATGCACCCGCTCTCAGGCTCCCGCTCGTAAACAGCCCAGCGCGGTCAGCCCCACAAAAGCCAAACTTTCACATGGCACGACCTCAAAACCCACCCCAACTTGATAGGATTCCATTCGACAAATCCCGCAGGGCGCCAGCCAAAAGCCAACCCAGCAACAACCCCCCGATGGGCACCCAACAAGACCCCCACCCTGCCCCCTCGGCATATTCCCACCCCTGTAACTTCTCGGACAGGACGTGGTGGCGCTCATCGCCTACGAGGCCCCAGAGGCGTCCCCCCTGGCGCACCTCCTGTCCACCGCGCAGCGCGAGAGGGTAGCAGACGTAGTCAACGCCGCCGTGCTGGGCGCCGCTGCAGCTGCTGCCGCTGCTGCTGGCGGCGCAGAGGGTGGCGGGGGCGCGGGCGGGGCCGCCGCCATGCAGACGGAGGCGTCCGCGGCGGCCGCGGCGGCGGTGGCGGCGGAGCAGCAGCAGCAGCAACCCGCCAAGGTGGGGCGCTGGGGCGTTGCTGCTTCCTGCAGTGGCGTCGTCGACTCAGGGGACAGCACTGTACAGCGTGCAAACGCCTGGGGCTCTTGCATCTGATAGGCTTTTTTGGCCACTTCGACTCCCACGATCTCAATGTCTGCGCCCTGGCGCCTGCACCCCAAGCATCGAAACGCTACCCCCGCGCGGCCCTGCCGCCCCCGCCCTGCACCCCTCGCCTCCCCACGCCTAACCCCACCCAGTCGACACCCCCTTGGCCTCGTCTCGGTTCTCTCTCTAAAACACACACTCCCACCAACAACACACGCCACCAACAAAACACCCCTCAAAACATGAA